GCCTTAGCTAAGATGAGGTAAGAGTGAAGGGCATCCATGTCACTCGGAGGGCAAGGCGAGTACTAATAAGAAAGACGAGACAAGGGACGGCACCACGGCAGCGGCACCACGGCAAGGCGGCGGCGGCGCGGCATCGTTGAACGAGCTCCTCGCCGGCCCTCGAGAACCGAAGGAGGCCGCTGGGCGCAGTGTACTTGGGTAAAGTCCCTGCCTGCCTCCTCACCTCACCTAGCGCAGCAAATCTGAAATTAAGAGATCAAACAATACGACGAGCGGGCCTAACAACCTTTGGGGTGCCTGTCTTGTTTTCAAAGGTGCCGACGACTCCAACAAAGTGCAGTGCACAGCCTGGAAACTGGGGAAATGGAGCCCGCCGCGCCTTGTTTCGACCAGTCGGCTTGGACATGACACAAAAGAGAGAGACTTTCAAGAACGACCGACGGCGCTGGCACTGGTAGCTCGACCATCATCTGGCGTACACACCACACCGTAATCTGGTGCTGTGTGTCCACTGAAGAGAAGTAACTGTACATTCATTCATTCGATGGCTGACCTTGCCGTGAGACACGCCCGCCCGCCCGCCCGCCTGGATTGTGAGACTCCCAGTAGCGATCTGCCAACAGAAAGAATGGCAAGGTTGGCGGGTGGGAAACCGGGGCGGCCCTGACCATCACTCGTACGTAGATCCTCACCTGTTCACATGCCGCTTCAGGACACCGAGCCTCTGCACTGTGGAAAACCCCCGGTGGATCGATACACCGTGTGTATCCTAAGGTATGCCCATGTGTGAGTGCGAATGTGGTGTGTGGAAGCATATTTCCCATCCATCATCACCCAGCAGGTCTGCCGTCTTACCCTGCCCGGGCTTAGACACAAGCATAACGTTAAAGAAATACACGCACGCCTTGCCTGACTGACTTCACACATCGCCTCCCGCGGGGACCAGACCAGAGCAATGCTGGAGCGGAGAGGTGGCGGGTAGTCAGTGCGAAACCTGTAATTACCGCCCATTTGCGGTGCGGCGTGGGAAGCAAAAACCCGTGCCTTCGCCCGTTCATGTGTGCAAGGGCACCCGGGTCATGGCACAGAACCTTGGATGGATGGAACCTTTCTAGAACTGGCACTGGAAACACACAGAGACCCGACGGTTAGGAAGCTTTGTCTCCTTCGGACGGAGCGGAACGCGAGGGAGACGTGGGAGTCTGGAGACGGACGGTGGAAGGGTATCGGGGTATCAAACTTACGCTGAGCTGTCAAAGTATCTACACCAACTTTCCCATTACCACACACGGTACATACCATACACCAAACCATCTTGCGTAAGGTACTCCGACATTCTCGGGCAAAGGCAAAGGTACCCGGCAACATGCTTCCTCCCTCCGCCTGGGATGCCTGCCAGCGCGCCGGCCCCGTCGTGTCGTGTTTCGGGGCGACTCAGCAGGAGTCGGGCGCAGGCCATGGAATGGAATAGACGGCACTTGAGAGGATGCCGTATTAAGGCATGTTCCTAGGGCCGACCTGAAATGTTTCCGCAACGCTTCTAATTATGTCTAAATCTCACATGGTATGTGCCCGCTGGCTCATCCCTGCTTCTTTTCGTCTAGGTAGTCTCAACTTTTGCACTCCTCCACAGTGTCTTTGCCGAATCTAGCCTGACTTTGCCGTTGTCTGTCTCCTGAACAAGACAGGAAGTCCATGTCCAAACGTCCCAAGTTATTCTCATCCTGCACGTGCGGATCTTGAGGGCCGCTGAGGTGGTATGCAACACCTTGCAACGCGACAGTGATAGGCGAGAAAGAGTTCTCGGCAACCAACGACTGACCAGACCACGAATACTAAGTAAACACTGTCTTACAGCATACCACCGTTTCTGAGCTCTCCCCTAGTGAAGTAACATCTTTATTTTTGGGGGGGGCCTGTCATGTTTGAGACTGTCGGCCGGGTCTCTCCTCCGTCGCAATGTAGATTGTTTGGTTTGGTTTGGTTTGGTTTCCCTAGGGTGTTAGTCCCCGTCCGTCGTTCTTGTCGATTGCGCCCCCTGTCCCGACTCTCGTGATCCCCCTCGCTTCGTAACTGCGGTACGTAAGGCATGTGGTCCAGAATCAGATTATCGGAGAAGCGCAATTTCGACTGTTGCGCCCGGAGCCCGGCCTTCCTCTCTGGCTTGCCGTAAAGCAGAGATTTCCCCCTGGCATTTTTGACCTGCCTTACGCGACCTCGCTTTGCCTAGGTACCTAGGTAGGATATGAAGGGTATGCATGTACTTGCTCAAGGCAAGTTCGCCGTAAGTAAGGTACCTAAGGTAACTACCTTAGGTAAGGTACTTGACAAAAACCCTGGCTCCTGACGTAAAGCTTAGCGCGTCCCTCTGCATGGCAGACCTCCTGTGTGGCACGGAGCGGTGTGCCAAGACTTGCTGGAAATCAGAACAACGGCCGAACCTCACACCAGACACCACAAATATCGCTCACCACGCGTCGCGGTTCCCCCAATCAGGCAAGAAAATTGCATCCCGCCACGATCCTGGATGACCAGTACCTGGGCCAAATCTTCTGTACATGATGCATCTTGCATATGACAGTGGCAGTGTGCGTAAGGTTAGTTAGGTAGGCCTAGGCCTCCCCCTCCGCCCTCTTCCGTCGCCATGCCGGGCGCGCCCATCTCCGCCAGTCGACGCATCACTTACACGACGATAAACTGGCCGTCGCTGCCGTAGCATTTGAACGACACCAACCTAACCCATTCGCGCCAAGACGTTTCACTTTCCCCTGCCTTGCTGCAAAAGTCGCCAGTCAGACTGGCCGATCTGAACGAAATTAGATTGCAGTTCACTGCATTCGCAACGGTGACGAGTCGACCACACTGGTTGATTTTGATTTGCCCTGCACTGCAGAGACGTGCTCGGTATCGCTTGGGTTTGCACCTTGGTCTTGGCGTCGAGATCATCGCTGTGCTTTTTTGGGACGTGTCTTCCGTCGCTTGCCGCTGTCGCTGCCTGAAATCAGTCATCCATTGGACAAGTTCCACTGCATTCCTCAACTGCTTCAGATCCGGTATCTTGGTGACCTATTTGAGTTTCACATGGCGGCCAGGAAGCGCCAAGTGAAAACGAGTTCATCCCGTGAAGCGCAAGCAATGGATGTCCATACTGTACACACGGCAGAGTTCTCGATCGCCATGGTGTGGTAACAAACGCCGAAAATAGCTTCGGACCCCTGGGTGAATGCGACAAGTCCATCTACGAAGCAAGCAAGCAGCGAGTGGAATGCATGCATGCAATGCAGTTCAACTGGTAAATCTCATCTCACCTCGCTCCATCGAGAAACCCGGCCGGAGAAGCTGCCTCAGTGCCTGTCCCGTTCCGATCTCCAAATCATCGAACCAAGGTTCCCCGCCAATCACGGGGAAGAGTCAATTGACGGCGGGGGACGTGGGCCCCACTACAGCCCGGACCAAGCTCAAGCTTCCTCTTTTTCCCCTTCCCGCCGCCCACCACCGACCTCACCCCAGCAAGTCCAACGACGACCAGCGGCGCGACAGGCACACCACGACGTCACACCAGCCAGACCCGTACCGAGCTCGCGCATCAGCCAGGTACTCGGGCGATCAAGCACACCGCTTACCACGCACGAGATTACGACGACGAGCGGCCAATTGCGAGCACTGCAAAAAACAACCACGCACACACAATCATAACCCCGCCACCACTACTACACACTTTGGCAGCGCGACGATGGCGGACAGAGGATCCCACAGAGGCGGCGGTCGAGGGGGCGGAGGCGGCTACCGCGGCGGGCGGGGAGGAGGAGGTCGCGGCGGCGGAGGCGACCGCGGAGGAAACCACGGTTCTGGCGGCGACCGCGAGAGACCCAAGAAGGAAAACATTCTCGACCTGTCCAAGTACATGGACAAGCAGATCACCGTCAAGTTCAACGGCGGACGTGAGGGTACCGATTCGCCGCCCTCAATCACCCAAACTTAGTCCGTTGTCTCGCTGACCTTGGTGATAGTTACTGGTACCCTCAAGGGTTACGATGCCTTGATGAACCTGGTCTTGGACGAGGTCCAGGAGGTCATGAGAGGTAGACGCACCCAGCTCCACGCACCGCCTTACGAGCGAATGTTTGCTAATCCGATTCCTTGAACTAGATGAGGAGGGAAACGAGACCACTCGATCGTTGGGCCTCGTTGTTGCTCGCGGAACTTTGCTTGTCCTTGTTAGCCCCGTCGACGGCAGCGAGTCCATAGCCAACCCCTTCGCTCAGCCCGAGGATGATTGATCGGCCTAAGCAACCAAACCTGGAAACGAGTCTAGACGACAAAATATGTGGTGGAAAATCAACGCTACCGGCGCCATGCCCGGGTTATGCTGCATGGTGTCCAACTGATACCCACAGCCAAGGGCATCAATGAATCAGGACATGTCGTAATATTTGTGGTCATGAGAAGTAAGGAAATACTCCCGCGCATCAAAATTGCGCAAGATGTTGGCAGCGATGGGAACCACCCTTTTTCGACATCCTGGTGGCCAGTTGTAGTACTGGTGGTGCGTCTAATTTGATGGATACCCCCACATCGACATGCGCAACAAAAGAAGGAACAGGAAGAAATCTGTTTCGCTGCTCTCTGCATCACCTCGTCTACCGATGTCTCGAAAAAGGGGGAGAGTGAGATGTCAACCCCTCTCCTATCTATATCGCTTTCCCCACTCAGGGTCGCTTGAAACGCACTCGCTGTGATAACATTTGAACCGTGCAAGTGCTCTGTTTCTCGCTCCCGTCATACATCCAAGCAAAAAATCCTAGCCCCATCCATTCAGTCATTTCCAAACCTCAATAGGCCAGCGTCGATGTTCGGTTCCAGGCCGTAAGTGTCTTGTCGCGTCAGAGACTTCCCGTTTCACACGCAACCTCGACATCGATATCTCATCTTCCACCTCGCCTCTTCTGGTACTTGCGCGCCCGTGTGCTCCATGATTTCCGATGCAGAGCATTCCGGTCCTAATGGGATGGGCCTTGAAATCCCCGACCCGCCGGCTGTTTCCCCCCCTTGAGAAGCTCCCCGAATGCATTGCCAAGCTGCTTCTTCAGCTCCTTATAGCTGACCACGAAGCTGGTCTGTTCATCCCGGCTTGTCAAGCAGATTCGGTCATCACTGCCAGCATCTAACCTGTTCAGACACCGGATGATGTGGCCCATATCAACCACAGGGTTTCCGTTGGCGTCGACTTGGTGGAAAACATAATCGCGGAACAGCTTCAACATATACCTTTCGCCGTTCTCTGACCATGCTCTGTCACCGTCGAATTCTTGGCGTTCATTGACCGCACCCAGCTTCGCCATGAGCCGCACCAACCGGCCATTTTCTAGTTCCCTGAAAAGCTCCGACTTGAGTGTGTCGGCTTCGTGGAGGCTAGCATCCAGGGTTGCTACCATGTGGACAGCGATGCCTCTTACGAATTCTTCGATTCCCTTGGGTGTAGCGCCTGGAGGAGCCGGCGTCAGAAGCCACAAGACAGTATCGGTGATTTCCTTAGAATACGTCCGGCCCATCTGCTCAATCGGCCCCTTTAATTGACTTGCTTGAAGGTTGGTCAGCTGGTTTGGTAGCGTGTTTATCGCCAATGACAAAATCAGCTTGCCAAAGTGGATCAAGTCCTCTTGCTGCAGATCCTGTATAGGCCGACGTGTTTCAAAGTGGACTACATCCAAGATGGAGCAGGCGCCAAGGCGAATGCGGTTTTTGTCTGTAACTATGATTTTGCTCATATCGAGACACCGAGCGGCAAGGTTCAAAGCGTGGATGGCCTTCAGCGCGTTGGCTATCTGCGAAACGTAGCCCCACAAGACGCCTTCGGCAATCGGCGTTTTGGCGGCAAACCTGCTGGCGTGGGCGGTGCCCGCGTGTGGGAAGTGTAGCTCGGCAAGGGTCTTGGAGAGTGGATGGTAGTCCTGGACAAAGAATAGGGAACTGTCCCCGAACGCGCGCGTGGTGAACGCATCATGAATCGACACCACGTTGCCGTTGTTAAGTCGTCGCCACTCCTTGACCGAGCGAATGGCATGCTCGTTTGTCAACCGAAAACCTGATACTGTCAGCTGATGTACGAGTAAATCTGGAGTAAGCCACCACCTTCTAGTCTTCGGAGGCAGTAGGTCCTGCCATTCTTGGACGACGTTGCCTTGTACACCCACGTCGTGTATCCAAAAACACTAGAGCTCTTCCTATGGCTAGTGTCCAGGGGAACGAGCGAGAAGTAATTGTCCAGCGGAGGCAGTGTAGAGTCTGCCGGGTCGTTAGCATTTCTGGCCTCCCCCGTCGTTCCTGTGGTGATACTCACTTGGCATAACTTGCTGCAAAGCTTCGGATCTGCGTTGCATGTCCTCACGAAGCTTATCAGGAATAAAAAAATCATGAACCTGTCTCTGGAAAGGGGCCAGATCGTCTCGATACGGACCAACAGGGGCGTATAGATGATATTGCAGCTACAATTGTCAGTAACCGTGAAACCCTGCGGGCTAGCTATCTCTTACGGGTTGAAGGGGTCCAGTGTAAGCGTTTTGATGTTGGAAGAACGCTGCATTAGAACCGACAAGGCCTGTCGGATCATCTGCATAGGGGTTGAATTGTGTTGTCGGCAGGGCCTGGGCAACACTTGTCATTGTGAAGGGATCATAATTGATCCCTGTGTCAGAGGCAGCACCATTAGCGGTGATCTGGTACAATTAGCCATGATTGTTTCTGGTTCCTGAAATGTTCCGCTGACTCTTCTTACACCAGTGCTTAACTCAAAGTTTTGGGGAGTGAATTCTCGCAACGTGGCGGGGTTGAAAACGGTTGATGAGGTTTCGTTCTCTTGTGCAGCAGGTGTAGCAGCTGGCAGGCATCAGCAACAACTTCATAGTTTCTACGCTTCTAGACTTACAGCCGGCTCCCCTGGGAGTAAAGACTGCTGCACTCGCAGCCTGCGATGAGAACGTTGATTTCTTTGTCGGAGCCCCAAAGGCATTGGAGCTTGGAGATGCTGTCGAGGGTAGACCAGCGGGGGTGAAGGAGGGTGAGTCGACATTAAACGTTTTTTTCGAGCTATTATAAACCTGTCAGCTCTGCCTACCCATTGCTTGTGTGTGTGCTATGTGTGTTATTTGTTTGTGTGTGGTGTTTCTACCATCGTTCTTATGGCAGACGACAAAGTGCAATGCCTGCACCGGCTTTCGGCCCAAGGCTCGCTCTGACGTCTCTCGATTTTCCCTGGACTTTGTTGTGGGAAGCCTCAAGATATTTGTTAAGCAGCATGTCAAGTCTCATTCCTCGACGAGACTCGATTTCCTTGCCCCCCTGGCCTTTATCTCTTTCCATACCGCTTGGTTCAAGGATTCCCGATATAACGGCCCACCCTCTACGCGAATCTTCCCTTTCATTGTCTGCCTGAACATATGTGTCGTGGAAATGACGCGCTCGTTCCTTGCAATGGCACAGTCCAGTAGTGCTGCCTTGTTCGCCTTATTTGTAACTATGGAGCAGTTGTTCCATTGGGGAGTCCTCGAGATGCGGGGGTGACGCCTAGTGTATCCGAGTGCTCGCAACGGCACGATTTGACAGTCTCGTAGTGGTACCAGAACGCGGCGGAAGGTGGACAATGGGAGGAGTGCGAGGCGGAGTGTATGAGAGAGAGGGAGATCACCTACAATTCTGATTGAGTGCTCTGCCCTCCCGGGCTATTCTGGGCCGAGTTGGGTCGATTTTGGTCATGGTTGAAGGCGCAACCAGCGTTTTCGTACCGGCAGTGGCCGTATATCATCACGTTTCGGCATTGCGTATCCTTGTTCTCTGAGCGAATTGACTACAAGTCAGTCATACAGGATTGGACGGGTCGGGCAGGTAGCAAGTTGAGTCGCGGTTGTCTACTCGCCTCGGGTTTTGGGCTTTGGTGATCCGACTTGTCGACGGAGGTCGGACTGCGGGTATCGCGAGGTGGCCATGATCAGTACGGTTGATAGGTGAAAGTTTCGCCCCCTTGGTCGACGCTACGACGTCTGCAGAGAGTCAGCCAAATGCTAAGCCCATGATCTCGACAGCGAAGGTGGTTCCTTGTGTTGGTTGAACGCGCGCGCGCTGGACGTGGAACTGGAACTGGGACGGGGCCTTGGACTGGGCGGGGGAGACAAAGCGGGCAACAGAATGGAAGCAGAAGGACTGGAGCTCGCGTGGGGCTGGGGCGACGGGGGGTGGTAGAGTGAACAATTTTGGCCCGACGCACTTGATCCTTGCAGACATTTCCCATGCTTCGAACAATGTTGGTGGGGTAGGCTTCTCGGTCATGGACACGACACGGGCGAAGCTGAAGCTGGCTGAGGTTGGCCGACGGCGATTCGCAGAGAGAATTGGTGAAGTGAGGTCGAGCGGCTGGTAAACAATGCAAGGCGATGTCGGAAGAGTTGGAGGAGGGTGGTGACGGGATAACGAATGGGATACCAGACGATCGATATGCGCGCGCCGCGACGACGCAGGTGGAGGAGACAAGAGATCTGCAGCTCACCGCAAGGTGAAGTCGGGCGGCGTGGCGACGTCGGCGGCAGCGACGAGGACGATGAGGACGTCGAGTGGTAGCCGCGACGATGCGAGGACGATGATGCAGGCCAGGCCTGTTCTGTTGTCTGCCAGGTGGGAGACTGGGAGAAGTGCACGCGCGGGACAGCCAGCCAGACACCTTCCCTACCTACGTGCCTAACCGTCGGTACCTTGCCTGCAAGCGTCTCGCCTTGTCCTAGTCGAGTACTGTCCCGTCTCAATTTCGGGAGCAGGAGGAGGGGAGATGATGACACTGGACTGGACCCGACACCTGCATGAAAGGCCTCCTCCGACAGACTTGAACTAAAAAGTGCTCTCTCAAGCCTACAGATGTGCTGAAGCCACTGGACTGGACGGACAGCCCTTGGAAAGCACCTAATCACCTAACCTAGGTAATGGAAAGCGCCAATGTCCTCCGCTAAGTGCATTAAGCGCATTGGACATGATTCATGTTCTCCGCGATAAGCGATAAGCCTCTTAACACGTTGCGACGCCCCGAACGCGGTGCATTGCAGACGCGATTCCAGGTATGTAGCCTGGAAGTTGGGAACTCTCCTCGGCAGAGCAGATACGTAGATAGACACCTACGGATACCTTAGGTGCTTAGGTAGCTTCCCTGCCTGGCAGCCTCCACTCGCGGACAAGTGTCGTCACCGGACGACATTCGCCTGCAACGATTATTGTCTTTCGTGGCAGCATCAAGTGGACCGCTCTTGGCTGCCCGCCTTCAAACACCTCACTGGTCCCTTACCTGCCTCCTCAAAGCCAGCTGCTTACTCTTCGTTTCTTTCTGCAGCGCTTTAGCCTCTTCCCTCTCAGCCATTTCACCTGTGCGCGGCTGGCTACCTTGTTGGCTCATCCAATTACCTAAAGGTACCTATACCTGCCTTTAGACGACCACCCTCGAGTTGGTTTCCTCCAACAACCGCCTTCTTTCATCCTTTGTTCCGCCTGCGACATTGGCGTTGCCGCCACCAAGCATTACAGTCTTCACGACCCTGTCATAAAAATCTTCCAGATTATTGCCAAGGCACAACCCGCTTGTCATCCACGTCCCTCATGGGCTGCCGAACCGATTCTACACCAAGCGCACCAGGACAGATCTACAGCCCAGCATGGCAGAGACCCACGACATCGACATAGGACAGCTGTCCGCAAGCGAGCAAGAAGCTTTGCAGCAATACACCCAGGTTACGAATCAGGAATTGAAGGATGCGATACCGCTACTGCGAAGATCACAATGGAACGTTCAGGTATGCACCTTCCACCAGAAATAGCATCCGGACCCTGCTTTCGCTCACAAAAGTCTTCCTACAGATTGCCATCGCCAAATTCTTTGACGGCGAGGGGCCTGACCCCGTCGCAGAAGTCATGGCACAAGAAATTCCCAGAACAGCCGCACGACACGAGAACCTCCAAGAGAGTCTAATGGCCTCCTCAGGTCGCCCGCAGCCGCTCCGAAGAGATCGACCCGACCCCGCCCCGCGAATCGTCCCCCAGCCGAACAACTACCACAGGCCACCATTTCTCGTCGGACTGTTGCTGGCCCCATTCTCTATCGGCTACACCATAGCTTCCAAGCTGTTCCGCACCGTCTTCTACTTGCTCAACTTTCTGCCTGCGCAGCTAAGGCCACGAGCGATTACGGCTGGGTCGGGTGCCGGCCTGAGAAGTACAAATGGGCGTCGCATGCTGATGCCGCGGGACACCGCTGCCCGATTCAAGCGGGAGTTCGAGGAGGAGTATGGCAACACCGAGCTTCCGTGGTTTGAAGGCGGAGTCGCCCAGGCGCAGGACCTGGCCAAGAAAGAACTCAAGTTCCTCCTGGTCGTCCTCATGTCACCCGAACATGACGACACCGAGTCTTTCACCCGCGAAACTCTGCTCGCTCCCGACGTCGTCAGTTTCATAAATGACCCGGCCAACAATATCATCCTTTGGGGCGGTAACATCCTGGATTCGGAGGCCTATCAAGTCGCGCAGGAGTACAATTGCACGAAATACCCCTTCTCGGCTATTGTCTGCTTAACCCCTAAGGAAGGTAGTACCAGAATGAGCATCATCAAGCGTCTGGCCGGGCCCATGCCCGCATCGACGTATCTCTCAGAAGCACAAGCTGCGATCAATAAATATGCGCCGGACTTGGCTGGTGTCCGGGCCGAGAGAACAGCACAGGAGGTGGCACGGAGCTTGAGAAATGAGCAGGATTCTGCCTACGAGCGCTCACTGGCAAAGGACAGAGAGAGGGCACGACAGCGACGCGACGCAGAAAAGGCTGCTGCAGAGGCCGCGCGAAAGGCGGAAGAGGAGGCAGAGGCTGCGGCGCATTTGGCAGAACAACGGGATCAGTGGAGACGTTGGCGGGCAACGACGATCGAGGACGAACCTCCCGCCAGTAGCAAAGAGATTGTCCGCATTGCGTTGAAAATGCCCGAGTCGTCCGGAGCGGGCAGAATTGTGCGCCGGTTTCGCAGCGACACTACCATGGAAGCACTGTACGCTTTCGTGGAATGCTACGACTTCGTGGGGGCGTCGGAGAAACCTGCGGCGCAGCCTGAGGGTTACGAGCATGAGTATCAGTTCCGAATTTCATCAGTCATGCCCCGGGTAGTGTACGAGCCCAGCAAAGAGGAGACAATGGGTCAGAAGATCGGGCGGTCAGGAAACTTGATTGTTGAGGAAGTATCAACAGACGGGGACTCTGATGAGGGCGAGGATTACTCGTCTTGATTGGCGCAGGTCATAGAACAACACCCCATTCTGTGCAGGACGGGTATATGACGAATCGGTTAATAGAGTAGACGGCGGCAGCATAATGATGTACAGAACAATTCAGTAGTATTTACAGCCATACTTGGTCCTATGAGGCGGCTTTGTCGGTCTAGACCGCTACTGTGCCGAACCTTCCGAACAGAAAACTTATCGCCGAAGATGTCAAGCGGGAGCCGTCTTGGCAGACGAGTGAAGTGTGTTGTCGCAAAAGATGTCAAAGCTTGAAAGAGGCAGCCAGGGCCCGATGATGAAGTATCGCGGGGGCGCTAAGAGGGGTGATTTGCGTGGCCTATGAGGTTTGGTGTCTTGGGAACCCCACAGGAGAGGACTGACAGGTGCGTGAAGCTGCAGGTGCCGTGGCGCTGTTGATAACCACGTAAGTGGTCAGCTGTCATGAGGGTGTACGGCGGCAAGTGCTTGCGTGGAATAATGAGGCTGTGCAGCGAACGACTTGGCTGGTGCAGCCGGAGTTTATGGACGGCAAGGAGAGTGAGAGAACTAGGCGGACACGGTGAAGGAATTGGAAAAGTGTGAGCCGTGTAAGACAAGAGAGAACGAGAAAGAAAAAAAGAAAAAGAGAGATAAGCTACTTGGCTTGTGGCATGGGCTCGAAATAAGGGCGAGCGTATCTGATGGCGGCATACAATGGCCGTCCGATGATTACATCGCCTTGCCTTACTGAGTGCGGGTAGGTAATAGGTACGGAGCGGGTGGAGTAGGACCCTGAATTATGGCATGAATATACTTTCCAAGTTAGACCTTTACCGGCACATGTCCAAACGGGGGCTGTCTCTGGTTGATGCGACTCCAGTTTTTGCTCATATTTCTTAGTTTCTTTTTTTCCCTCTGTTGTTTATTGTTGTTATTTTTATATTTTGCGGTGTTGTTTTGCTGCGTATGACAGCAGAGCAGTAAGTGCGTGGTGGTTTTGATGTCCATGTCGTCTGTTTTGACTGGAATGCCATGTTGCAGATTACATGCGGGTGGACTGCTAGACCGGTCGGTCACTGGTCTGGGGACGGCCTTCGCCCCGGTCTTCGGGACTGCTACCTACCTTACCTTAGGTATGTTAAGGTAGGTAGGTACATGGTAGGCACGGTTACGGGTAAGGTACGATAGACTATCTGTATGGTGGAGATGGATGGGGATTGCGATGGCGTCGCCTCGTCGTCGTCGTCACGTCTGCACACGGGGCTGGACGCCGTACGAATACCTGGCGTTGGCACTTTGCCGCAGCAAGCAAGCCCTTCTTTCCGATGCTCCAGCCTCTCTCCCTCCTCTCTGATACTTCAACCCCAATTCCTCCGACTTTCTCTCCGCAGCGGTGAATATACCTAGATCTCGCAGCGACCAAACCATAAGCTTAAACTCATTGCCTCATCTTTCGTACCCTACCTTACTTACCTATACTTACATACCTACCCAACTTACTAACCTACCTACCCGTGTTACCTTGGACACAAGACCGCTACCGCCGGCTTCCGCTGTCGCACATCGCAAAAGGAGGCTCAGACTCAAACACCCGACCCGGCCCTGGCCCTTGCCGTCGACTTCTGCTGTCTCCCGTGGCTGCTGAGACTGAGAAGGTAGCAGTAAGGTGTCTGTCTGTAGGTAGGTAGGTAGTACGAATAGCCACACTGCCACTGACGAGCTGCCCAGAGGCTAGCGGTGGCCCTGTCAGCTACCTAAGGTACCCTTGCCTACCTAGGTGCCTAGGTCGAGTGCATTCGTAGGCACGAAGACTAGCCCCTCTAACCACCCCCGCGCCGGCAGCAGATCGTCTCCAACGGTCGAATCCACTGCCCATCCAACACCCACCAACATCCAACACACACTTGGCACCAGACAGAGACGCACGTATGTACGCACGCACTCACTCAATCACTCCCGTCACTCACTCCACGCACTTAAAGGGACCCCGTGGACCACAGAGCGCGCGGGACGCCGGGCTGAGGTTTAATTTAAAATAACCCCCCAGTTCGTCTGGCCCTTCCCACCACCGAGCGTCACTTCCAGGCTGCAGCTCGACAGGCCCTGCGCATCCGTACATTCTTCTTTCCGACAAACAACAGCCCGCTGAACTTCCCGTCCTGCCCGTCGCTTCTTGTCACGGACAATCCAATCCAGTCCTGTCCCAATCCCAAACAGCTGCAACCTATCTCTGTACCTACCTCACATACCTTACCTCTGCTGGTCCTGCACCCGCTCGCTCCTACCCTTCGACCCAGACCCAGACACAGACATCTGTCACTTCTGTCTGTTCTTTCGCATCAGCTATACTCGTCCGAGATATCCCCCCTCCCACCGCTCGTCCGCCATCAGTTTTATCCTATCCCCCAACCTAGAATCCTGACCGCCCTGCCTTTTTTATTCCGCCGGTTGGTCCGCCTCTCCATCTTCGGACCCTTGAAACCCGTGCTTCCTTCATCTTTCCCCTACGACCACTCAGGCGCTCCGACGCCCGCCTACCAGACGCAAAGATGAAGGCCATGAAGGGGCTTAGCGTTAATCGCATGATGAGCACGCTCAAAAAGCGAACAACCACAAGTGAGTAAAGATGCGCCTGCGCGCGTGCCCGCCCTCCTTCCTCGGCCGGCACGGCATGCACGGTTATCGCGAAGGGAGTGCTGATCGACGTCCCTCCGCAGGCTTCAGTGGACCCGGCGAGGTGTCGGCGCCGGACCCGCAGAACGATACCCCCGAAGCCATCGCAGCTCGCAGCGTCGTACGCCAGTCCCGCCTCCTCCGAACCAATCTTCGCCGCTAATAATCTTCTCAGAGACAATTCTGCGAGTCTGGAGGTCTCAATGCCCAAGTACGTTCTCTATCACGACGCACGCGACTCTCAGGAGACACCCGCTGACCCGAACCTCTAGGGCGATGAAGTCCTTTACCTCCCGCCCATCGTCGAGGCCGCCGAATCCTCTCCTGCAGCCGCGGCCGAGTGCGCCCGCATCATCCGAAAATACTTGTCAAAGGATAACATGGCCAAGGCCTCGTGGCAGTACAACGCCATTATGTTGATTCGCATCCTGACCGACAACCCGGGCCCAACCTTCACTCGGAACATGGACAAGAAGTTTGCCGATACCGTCAAAGATCTCTTCCGTTCTACGCGCGACCCTAGTGTCAGGCAGATGATAATGGAAACGTTGGATACCTTTGAGATGACAAAGTTCGATGATCACGGCCTCGGAGAGTTGATTGCCATGTGGAAGAGGGAGAAGGAAAAGAGCTTCAAGCAGCACGGGGTAAGGCTCACAACGTTCAAGTCATACATATGCCCCTTAGCTGACACTCACGCAGCAACCCAGGCAGCAGCAGCCTGTTCAGCCTGAACCGCGATCAATGAATGCGCCTCCCTTTGATCCCCATTCACAAAACTACTTTGCCCGCCATCACAACAACCCGAGCTTGCCGAGTCCTTCAGAACTAGCAAGCAGGTTAGAAGAAGCGAGGACGTCCGCGAAACTGCTCTCTCAAGTTGTCATCAACACACCTCCTCAGGAGGTGCTTGACAACGACCTGATCAAGGAGTTCGCTGATAGATGTCAGAGCGCTTCGAGAAGCGTGCAGCTGTACATGAGAGCCGAGAATCCCTCGCCTGACAACGATACCATGGAGAACTTAATTGATACCAACGAACAACTTCAATCTGCTCTGAACCAGCATCAAAGGGCAGTACTTGGTGCGCGTAAGCAGCTTGGTATTGGTGCGCGTTCAGAGAACGCCAGCCCAATCAGTCCACAGTCAGCCACCGGCCAGCATCCGGAGCCGCCACAACAACAGTGGTCGCAGGCGCAATCATCATCATCTAGCTCAACGCCCGCTCCCGTTCTGCCAGCCCGGCCGGCCGAAGGTAACGGGAAGGGAAAAGCAGCTGAGTCGTTTGCGCCGCCTCCCGGCCCTCCGCCCAAGTCTCAGCCAGAACCCCCGGCCGAAGATCCCTTCAAAGATCCCCAGCCACAAACCAACTATTCGTCTTCTAGCAAAGCCGGTGGATCAGGCTACGCAGCGGAACTTCCATCCGAAGAACCACGCCTTGCTTTCGATCCATACCACCCAGGCTTCAATACCACACCGAGCTATCTTGGAAGGCAGGACAGTGCCGTAGGCAAGGTGACTATGCATGGTGCTGATGCCGCCACGACGCCTGGCCCCCTTTCAGGTAACCCAATTCAGACTGTTGATCTTCGAGACCGTCACGAGGCGCCTCAGGAGGCATCTGATGACGATCTCTACGAGTCCACCCCGAAGAAGAGAAACCAAGGTCAAAGGTACTGAGTTGGCTGATAAAGCTCAGGTGAGAGTGGTGGATTTGTTCCTGAGACCCATTGGAGGCGATCCTCTTGGCGTATGGCTTTGAAGGCCCACTTGGGATAGAGTGAAGCCTTTTGCAGCGATATATGGGTAGCTTTGGCGTGGAGGAGTCACGCACGCTGCATAAGCGGAAGTTGTACAATGATTTGGAACTAAGGCATCAGCAAAGCATGGCGTCTGGCTGGGGAAGCTTTGGGTGGAATCAGGCCGTTTACAACTCATGAATCTGTTTTTCAACTCTATTTGACAGTTTCCATTCACGATACGCTTCTTGACAACCCAGCTTCTTTGTTTTTGTTTCTGGTTTTTTTTTTTCCAATTTTTTTTTTTTTTCATCCATGAACCATGACTATTCGCAACTACTTCCCGACTCGTGTGGCTCTGCATACTCACCGACAATGTCGTGATATGCAGACAAGCAAGACAAGGACCCATGTGCCACGACATGCCTTGGCCTCGAGGGTTGACATCGCCGGGGTTATATCCGTCGAGGAGCAAACAATCGCCAGGAGGCGGTGGGCTGATGGCAACCCAAAGGAGGGCTTTTGTGGATCGACAAAAACCATGTGCCATCCCATCCACTCCGGTTAAGAGCCGGGATCATTGCTTATTTCTCCGGGCGACGTCGTCTTCAGCCTCCTATTTTGCCCGTCCCGGTCGTAACTTGATGCGCAAGTCCGCACCAAGTCTACTGAACATGTAGGTGTCAGATTTGGACGATCAACTCATACGCTCAAGGTTGCCCGACAAAGACAGAATCACCTCATACGCAAGAGATGAGACTGGTGGGGAGCAAGGCATCAAGTCGAGAAGTCGAAACGTCAAGAGAAAACGGTCAGATTTGCTGCGGACATGTCACAGGGCCCCCTCGCCTCGTGATATTTCGGGCCCGAAGCCCAGATGATCCGATCTCTTCTTCCTCGCCGCCCGTGATGTATGCCGGACATCACCTACCTGCGCGGGCGAAAGCGGCACTGCCTGCCGGGTTTACTTGAAGCTCCGCGTTGCTAAATAAAGAACGAGGTGCGCTTCTCTTCCTGCCCAACCGGCTCTGTTTCGGCAAAACGCCCTGACATTGCTGTCTGGCAAAGCAACGTCCTCATCTGGAGTCTGAGAGCAGACGGGACCTGGTGAGGGCTTGGGGCATTCGGGTGCTTGGACCCTCTGGCGAACTGCATGCTTCTGCGGTCGACTTTCGGCTTGGAGTGGCTCGTCTGAAGGCATTTGCTGAGAACGCGAATGGGGTAACAATTCCGGTGCAGGTACGGCGAGGAGGTCGGATGGTGGAGGCAGGGGCTTGAGTCTGGGCATATGGAGAATCTTGCATGGTGAGAATGCAGGCCTCTCTCGACTTGTCGATTTGTTGTTGAAGCCAAGAGGCTCGCAAAGACATGGTCAAGAAAGCAACAAGTTCTATCACGGTCGGCTAACTTGCTCCCCATGTGACTGCAGAGGATCATAAAACAACGCTACCGGCAAAAATCAGAAGACTAGCCATAAGGAATACGAAAAAACATACAACACCGGGTATTCGCTGGTCGTCACCGACCCAACTACTAATCCAGCCCTCACTGGCTTATCTATGGGAGAGCGGACGGGATCCCGAGTTTTCCAGTGGGTATGGTCGTATGTGGTAGAGTGACGTAGTTGTCCTGCCTAAGTCGCCAGTCGAGCTGTGCCCAGACTCCTGAATGGCCTAGCTGGACAGCTTCTGGCGACATAAGGGGATGGAGGTGATAAAGGCAAGACAGACTTGCTAACGTAGCCGACAGATGCTCGTGAGGTGAAAACCCTGTCATTTGAGATGTTCATGCCAGAGGATAGTGTCTACGCCTGCTAATAGAGTGCTCGAGGCCATGACAAAAACGGCCAGAGGCTGCTCGTAGATGGCAAGCTTCCTTCAAGAGATCTCTCACCCTTGCTAGCTGTTCACATCCGGAGATCCGACCCGAAGCAATATGCAAGACGAGATGAAATCTGACAAATGGGGAGTCCAGCTCACGATCACGGGCGTTACCTGCGGCAATCAAGATGAAATCTTCACTTACGTGTCTCCCCCCGTAGCTAAGAACGGTGGCATTTCGCCGGCAGTCTCGGCGAACGCTGGCCGGGTCTTCTCGATCTCGCATTGGGCGAATCGGAGGGCAAGAAAGACGATGATCGTGAGCTCTGCATATATTGGCAGCCACCTGAAGATCCCCCCTCCTGAGGGTTGCAGTGGACTCCTTTCCATGAGACGGACGAGGTTGGTAGGAGGAGCGGAGCAGCATGGTTTGTTCTGCGGGAGGGGGGGGCGGCATCCCAGGCATGGAGTTCGGGATTCGACATTGAAAATTTTGGGACGACTGATGTGCCTCTGTCTCTCTCTTGCTCCCTAGAGATGGGACGGAATCGCCTACCATTCTCCGACGTTGACGAGGAACTGTCAGATTTCTCCGTCTGCTTAAGAAGATGAATATGGCCGGATCGGATGATGATTGCGAGGGCACATAGTTCAGCTGATCCCGTGTGGCTGACTCACCAAGAATGCAGCGTTGCGGGCTCTGGCATACGTACGTACTTGAGAATGCGGTGCTGTGGAGGAAGAGCTCACTGGTTTGAGTACTTTTGGGTAAAGGCAGTTCTTTTCCCAGACGGCAACACGTATTTAGATAAATCCTGTCCGATTCCACTGAAGCTCCTGGCTGTAGAAATTCCAATAGCGTTCTTGGCTACCGCCGTAGCGCGGGCAAGAGCCATGGAAGCCATTTCGAGCCGCAAGCCAGTCCTAAAAGGGGAAACGATGGAGGGCGTGAGCGCCACCAATCGCGACTCTTGAAGCGCTAGAAGCCCTCCCTCGTCGCCACTGTGCTAGGTTGATCCATTGCGTAGTCAGACCGTCCCTCCTTGCCCCGACTCTAAGGTCGGCAGGCAAAGACTTCTGTATGCTGGGGAAACGCCTGGAGATGGGACGTGCTGGGTGCTGCAAACAACACCCGTCTCGGCAGATGGGACGATGAAGTCAGGGCGAGCCCCCTTCTACCCACGGACGTTAGAAGCCTACTCTGCACGACGACCCTTTGGCTGCCAGCGTCCATAGTAAAACCTTCTCCCGCGCAAAGGCGGCAAACCATGCCAGGTTCGCCTGGCCTCAACTCACGGGTTTGGAGGGAGAGCTCGGAACCCTCGTCCGCCAGCCTTGTTTCAACGACGTCCTATCAAAGAGGAGCAAGTGCCGCGATACTCGGGCGTTGGAGACGCAAGGTCTCGAGTAGGCTTAACGCTCATGAACCCCTTGAATCAGACATTGTGCGGGCGAGAGAGGGAGAGAGGGGCAAAAAAAAAAAAAAAAAGCGACGAGGCGGAGGATATGCACAGAGCATGTTCGATCATGTCAGCGAGGGGTACCTCCCACGGATCACGTCCAAAGGTCCATATCGTGAGTGAGCGTGAAGGACAAGACGGAAGTTACCACCACATGCAGCTGCAGGAGAGCGGATTCGACAGATTGTTTCGTTGGTTGATAACCCGGGCTGTTGAAACCAACCACGGTATTGTTTGCGTGCTGGGCCTCTTTCTAGCAGCAGCAGTCTGGGCGAAGAAGGAAATGACAGTCGTTGGTATCCATAATTCATTGCAATCGACTGCGGTGGTGTTGATGGAACCAGGCCAGGCCAGGCCAGGCAAGGAGGACATTGTGAAGAAAGTCGTCAATGGCTGGTTAGCCAGGATGCAACGTGGAAAACCTAGCGGCGGGCTGTGCAGGGAGCTTGACATGGGTGCGATGGACCACTCGCATCTCTGGAATCTTTGGGCGGAGATCAGACGATGCGGCTGATGGAACAAGATCGACCAGCCCCTCAGCAACCCTAGGCTCCGTGCGCCCTGTTCTTGGGGTGTTATCCTTTTGTTCTGGAAGGAGAAATAAAAGTAGGAACGTCGAGTTTGATCGAGTGTCGGTCAGGGATGGTGTCGGGCTGGGTATACATACTTGGTGCTTGGCGGCAATGGCCAGCGTGCCTCTCGGTACCTATCGTTGTAGGCGGGCCAATTTAGAGTTCGCACCTATGTTCTAAAATCAGGGCCACCCGCCATGGTTTGACGCGGAAACGTCTTGAGATGAAGTGGACAAGCTGCCATGTTGGACGTGGTCGTGCTGGAGCCTGGGAGTGCCTTTCGTGGTGCGCGCTTGTAAAGGGCTAGTCTGGTATCCATGTGTTTGACCGGCGGTCTCTTTGTTGAAGAGCGGCATCGCCACGAGACGAGATCGGGAAAACGCGAGGGACTCGGACCGAAATTTGTGTCGACCTACGCATACGTAATACACAAGGCGGGTTTGGGTCTTCTGTATCGTTCCGATCTCTTCTTAGGTATCGAGGTGCAGTGAGGGCGGATGATTGAGAAGTGGAATAACGAGTTCACTTTGAATGACGAGCTCATCAAAGTGAACTCGACATCAAGCGCCCCCCATTCAAGTACAAGGATTCTATCGTCAAAGTACAAGGATTTCGATAGCAGTGTCGTTGCGGTGTGTGGGGCGGATCATTCACCTAAACGGTGTTGGAGCCGCCGCCGCGTTTGCCCGTCCGCCCGCATGCTGCCCTGCGCTGCAGCCAGTCAAGGCTTTTTTGGTACCGACGTCGCGACTCGAGCCAAAAGCGGTTCGCTCGTTGACGTATGCATGCATATGTGCACGAATAGCGCGGCGGGCAGTAGTCGCGACGGCTAGTCTGCAGTCAAGACGCATATTGACGCAGCATGTTCTGACATTGCGGCTTCTCACTGACTGACGTGGATGTTCCTCTGCCTTGGTTGGGCGCAATCATTCGTTCGTAAATAGCAATCCCGCGACGAGCGTGCACACAATGAGGTGGGATGTCATGCCGCACATAAGGTGGTGTAGGTACGGATAGGTACGCACGTACTGCATATGCTTAGTATGCATGTACCGTATGCATGCATCTATCTTACGCGTGGAACCGCGGACGGCACGGAAGTGTGAGCGGTGGCAGCCGGGATTGATGCTGCTTTTGCCCCGAACCACAACGTTGTTTTTGGGTGCCTGTCAATCCTGTGCCGCATCGGCGCGGATGTTTCTTGCGGCAGTGCAGAATCGGTACACCGTTCACAACAGCCCGGGGGATTGAGAGAGACGGAGAGGGAAAAAAAGCAAGAATAAAACGAATACTAAGCAGGCCGACCTTCAGCACAAGTCGCGCGCACACAGGGCAGAAAGCACGGGCGATCCGGGGGGCCCTGTTCGACAACGGATGCATCAGCAGGGGTGCGGCCGAGAAACCAGACGAGCAAATCGCATCCATTTGCTGGCCAGCAGCCCGGATAACGGAATATTGCCGATTATGCCTAGCTGGTATGAATACTGCGTACTTCGTACACACAGAGTTGAGAGCCTTGGGCGTAAGACAGAAGTCTTGCTACCAGTTCCCAGACAACGTCGTAGGAGACAATCCAACCCACCATGGCTCTGGGTCGTCATGGGATATGTGATATGGGTCCCGTCCCGGTTGGTTTGCGCGGGTCGGTCACTGGGTGGGAGTGTTCAGTCACGACCCACCCCAATCCAAAACGACTTGCGGGCCGCGAGTCGCAGGGAGCACGGAGGTTGTCGAGCAGGGGCTCTCGAGTTTGACGGCGGGAATCTGAGCGTCACAAGTCAAAGGGTTCACATTTCTTCATGCGTTGTGAGAAGAAATCGAAAGCATACCATACCACACATACCATGCCATATTGCCTCCTGAAAAGTGAGATGGCTTGACATGACATGCAGGGAAACCACACCTATGTCCCATCCCGTCTTCAGTCGCCAGCTTTCACCAGCGATTGGGTCGTGAAGTTGAGAGTTCACGTGTCAGGTTCTACACCCCTACGACCTCATGTCTGTTCGCAGCCCGGCTCGCGATTGGGTTGTGGGCTGGATGACAGGTGTGCCAGACGTGTGCGGAGGGAGGCTGATGACTCGAGCGTCGTCGAGATCAACATCCTTCTGTCGCCCGTCGCCCGTTGGGCCGGTTTGAATGGCTCGACAAGGCACCGACGCCCATTTCCCAAGCAGGGCAGAGCAGGTTTGCACGGCCATAGTACCCGAGAACGAAGTGGCTCTGTCTCGGTCTTACAGCCGGCGGGATACCTCAAATCAGCGAAGAACGAGTTGCTTGTCATCTCGACAAACATATGTGGTCCTCTTATCAACCGGGCAAGCGTCACCGTGGCCGTGGACTGTAACAGCAGGCCCCAGGCCAGACCCAGAATCGCAGATTACGAGGTTAAAGATTGGCAGTGACTGCTAGGGCGGCAACGGTGGCATACGCAGCATCTGCCATGTTGGTCCCATCCAACGTCGTCCGATGATATGACGAGCGGATGGCTGATGGTCGAGGGTATGCCACATGCGTTACCTCAGGCGGACAGGATTAGGTAACAGCGACGAGACAAGACACGGAGGTGGCCGCGGGAATCCACGAGCCATTGCGACGTGCCGAGAGGTAAGCTCCCTTGCTGCCAGCCAGCTAGCCGGGTCCTTGGGGAAGTTGGGAAATGAAGATGGATGTGGTCAGTCTAGTAGCGTAGTATGGAAGGCAAGAATATTTGGAGACATTGAATCGCGGGTGAACGATGTACTAGCAATACCCAAGGTTGGGTTGGAGGCAGGTTCCGTTTTGCTGGGAAGCAGTGGAGAGGGGCACTTTGCAAGGAAGCAAGGCTCTGGGATTGGAATTGGGATCGTGGTTCCATCCGGAGACGAAGACGCGGAAGATTTTTTTTGGGGTCTTGACGAGAGGAGACGACAGCAAGACAGGGTCGCAGAGCAGGGCAGGGGGCAGGGACAGGGCGGGCTGGGAGTCCGGGTAGCGGTTGATTGGAGGGTCATGAACGACGGGCGGTGCGTGGGACTCGACAAGTGTCGAGGACTTTGGGGAGTCGAGGAACTCTGATATCTGGTGCGGATATGCACAAATACCGTGTTTATGCATGCAGACGGCGGCGATCTTCGGATTGCTGCAACCCCCGCATTAGCCAGGGGGTCTTTCTAGACTCTGCCGGGATCCACCCATGTTGCTGAAATCTGCATTTCCCTTTTGGGACATTCTTGCGAAACGTCCCTTGACCTACCGGCTGCTCACCAATGGGCGCGCTCCCTTCTCCTTCTCTCTCTCCCTCTCTCTTTCTCGCGGCCGTGTCTCTCCACGTCCACCACGTCTGATGTTCATTTCTCTCACACCTTCGCTTTTGCAGCCCTCATTACATACACCTGTCTTCTTCTATTCGTCTCCTCCTCCCATGTTTCTTTCCCTGCCACTGGCTCATTGACGTTCCTTAGCACCAGGGGGTACACATCTACTATGCAGTCAGTACCTCACCTCCAGTAACCAGGACCCCCGTCTCAAGGCGGACCAGGTCAATTGAAACATGTTCTATCCACTCGGTCTGGTTGTCCATGTCCAGGGTCCCAAACCTCTCCAATCCCTACCTGCTTTTTTCTCTGCTGCTCCCAAAACCACCAAATGTACGAGGTACGGGGCAGCCGGCGAGCTGCCCGCATGTTCGTGAGTATCTGGTATCTCTCTCTCTCTCTGTGCCTGTCCGTCTCTCTGTCTCTCTCTGTCTCTCTCTGCCGTTGCTTCTGATGGCCTGCGTGTCACGCATAGCGCTGGCACGCTTGTTCGGCCTGTCTCATCATTTCACCTCCTTCAATGGCGCTTGTCGTGTTAGTCTTAGAAAAGTGTCTACCGCCCCGACCTCCGTCCACATTTTTCTTCCTCTGTTGACCCATTCGCCTCTTTTTTTATGACTGTGGCCTCCCACAAACGCTGCCTGGGCCGCCATTTTTGGGCCTCTTTTCCTTGTCCTTTTCCTTCATCACAGTCGCCCGGTCCGAGTCGGGAGTCGGACCAATATCAAGACGCCATATTCGCCTCTCCCACCAAATCGAGACATCGCGGCAGCCAAGAAACCTGTCAACATCTATACGTACATACGCATACGTACCAACCAAGACCTGGGCTGCATCTTTCTACGCCTTCGTCTTGCAGGCGGCTTCCGCGAGTTAATGTAGATGGCCCCTCGTTGACTCCATCACATCCCTATCCCGGCCCTGGATCTGTCCAGTCTGCCTCCACCTGGACCTCCTCCTCATCCTCCGCCTTTTCGTCGCCGTCGTCGGTGCGCCTGTGTTCGCTTCCGTCCCGCAGTCGCCACACGGCTAGTTAGCTTGCTGCTGGCTAACCTGGGTCATCTTATTGTACCCGCTCGTGACATTGTCCGCAAACAGATTAGCCCCGTCTGTCAACCGGCGGATCATGACTTCGGACCATCCCAGCTCTCTTCAACAGCACAACGCTTTCGCATTTGATGGAACCGTTGATAAGACCCTTACTTCCCCCCTCGATGCCAACCAGGAAGCTTCTTTGCTTGCCCCTACCTCTACCTCCCTCCCCCTATACCTTAATCCATCCTTGACTCTCTCCTGCTCCTTCATGTGGAAGCGCCACTTGTTGGCGAATGGCTACCGCATCCTCCCTCCGCTCACCTCCTCAAAAATGGTCTCTTAACGACCTGAGCTCTGAGCTGCTAGCTCTGATTTTCGAGCAGGTATGTATCTCCTGCCGGTCGGGCTCAACTGCTCCACAGGCAAGACAACTCGAAGCATTGACTTACCAGAGGCCTGCAGCTTAGAGAAATTGACGAGCGTGCTGTTGCCGCATCACGATGCATATCAAAACGTTTTGATGCGATAGCGACCCCCGTAACGTACCAGACTTTACGTCTTAATGAGCGCATTGTGGCGCCCGACGCCGAAGCGCTGTTTCCTAATCTTCTGCGCCATGTTTCGACCTTTACCAACCACGTGGTCGTTCGCAGCGACCTGGACCCGGACGGCATTCGGAGAGTGCTGGATCGGGTTCAAAGGCTCAAAACTGTGCGGTAAGCTGATCCACGCACTGGCGGCGGTTCCAACACCCACTGACTCCTTTTGCAGGTGGCAGTATGTAGACGCGGAGTTCAGATCAGGGCGACTATGGCTTCCGTCAGACGTGCTTAACCCACAGCATACGCGGTTCAACGGGACCAAGCTGTTTGTAGAGGATCTTCCACTCCGAGAGTTCGAGGGGCAGCTGCGAGACACCTACGTTCGAGCGATACCTACCGACCTCCTTGTTTCCCTCAAACTGGCGAGCCCTGCACCACCGCTCACGACCCGGCTCAACTCGCTGAAACAGCTTCTCCTGCTGTCGCGCCGTCTCCAGACCTTCCACTACGAAGACCGAGGCCAGGGCACGAACTTCAAGTTTGCGAATGGTGAGCGAATGCCTCCGCTGAAGGACCTGGTGCTTAAGTCGTACGATTGGAACCACTCCAAGGAGGAGACGCGTGCGTGTTGGGATTTCGCCAATCTCGAGTCGCTCGATCTGATATCCGTCCCGGTCTTCAATTTCCTGTCTTCCGTCGACTTCACCGATTTGACAGGCCTACGACGGTTGCACTGCGAAGACTACAGTGCACACTTGGTGGACAAACGCCAGGAGGCGACAGGGGGCATGTATTTGCTTGTAGCCAACCACATACGGGCGCTGCAGACGCTGAGTATGACATGCCACGTCCAGCTCTTTCCCTTGGACGGTATCTTGAGGCATGGAAACTCGCTACAAGAACTTCGATTCCGCGATCACGTGGGATTTGGCGAAGAGGACAGACGATGCCCGACCCTCTGGGCTGAAGACATCGCGACGTTAGCGCAAGGACTGCCGTACGTCCATACGCTCGAGTTGGACATGGACGTAGCTCTCTGCGACCCTCCCCAATTCCTGCGCGCCCTCTGCAGCTTCCGCAGTTTGCAGACTCTCACACTCCACGTGCAAACGGTCCTCCATCCTCTGGAGGTCGTTCACCCGGGCATGGACCGCGACTACGACGCAGCTGTCCGCACCTTCCAGTTCCTGTTGAGCGGAAGGGAGCATACCAACCCCGAGCTGCCCTGGAAGCAAATCACCATCAACGTGGGCGGCTGGCGGAAAGTCATGGTTCGCCGGTTCAGTGCCGCCTGGCGCCGGCAGAACGAGAACGGCGTCTACGCCGAGCGATGTTTTGTGCTTGAAAGGAATGAATATGGACAGATGAACTACCGCGAGGAGATGAGCGTGGAGGGACGCTCGTCAACGCCAACGCCTGACCCACCAACACCTAACATGGATACTGATTACGACTGACGAGAAGGCAAGGGTCTCAGGGATCACAGCATTACGTGCGCGGATGGATGAGGTGGTGGAAAAGTGCATGCGAAGAATGCATAATAAAATTAAAAACGGAAGGAAACCGAGATACAGGGCCATCTCCGGCACACAGGCATAGATGGAGGCTGGTCGAGACTAGCTCTCTAATCTTAATGATACCAACGACGTTCATGATCTCTAAATCTGGCTACCCGGTCGCCCTGACCACTACCACCGCACTATGAGTGTCTGTGACCTTTACTGCGCTTGGTATGACTTCCCAGGCATGAGAAACCATCCGCGTGATGCAATTGGCTTGGCAGGTTAACCGAACAGCACAAGGTTTGCCGTGCATGACGTGTCGACGGCCAGAATTGGAACAGCATCCCAAGACGGGTGTCGTTCGCGACTTGACCGGGCAGAAGATTGGAAGCGAGAGTTGACAGCCGTAAAGCGTAAAAGAGCAAAACCACATGGCTTGGACGACGTTGACTTTTCATGGTGTGAAGCCAAGCCTTGTCCAGCCCGCTGGTTCATTCGTTCCGCCTCGGCAGGTTTGACAGGTGACAGCTCGCACCAAAACCGCAGACGGCCCTTAAGCTCTCCCCCATACATGGCAAGGGTTGGTCGAACTTTGCGTTTGTCGCGACACGCGGAACCGGACTGGAACCCCCCGGGGCACCTCTGGTCGTAGCTTCGCCTGGGCATGGCGGCATGGCTGCCGCCGGCTTCGGGGGCCGGTTTGCTAACCGTCCCGGGTATCCACAGTCGTCGGTGAAGCTTTCGGTGAAGTCATTCGGTGAACAGGCTCTCACCGGTCACCATTCGAGCGAAGACACCTTCACCTAGGTGAAAGGTGAGGGTATCGTGGGTCAAGCTGCTATTCACCGAGACACAAATGAGAGGTGGGCAGAAAAAATATTAATTCAATTTGAAGCCGTTCCTGAGAGCAATCGATCCTGGTGACTTGGTCTTTGTATTTCGCTTGCCTGCTGGGTGTTGTGGTGGACTTGAGATTCGCCGAGAAACTTGAGACACGAAGGTAAATATTAGTTATTTTGGAACCCACAAAACACACTGCAAGCCTGATAAGCCCATAGGTGTTCTTGAGTGCATGATGATAGAGTTATAGCTGTAAAATGGCATCTGTCTGAGCCAAAAGGGCCTAGTTGACCTAAATGACGGACCCTTTAGGTCCCTTGACAGCTTCGCTGTTCATAAAGTGCAAAACAACTCAAGGTGACGAAAGATTCATATCATAATCAAGGTAGGAAGCTATGAGAGAGTATGTATTCTACGTCAAGAGACAGAGCAGATGACGAATTGAAGCCTCTTGTTGTAAGAGGAGCAGCGGTCTACGGGCATGCCAATGCATATTTCTACCGGGACGATGGCATCGGCTATCAGTCTTCAATGCGTTCAAGGTCTCTGATTGTTTTCCCTTTTCTTTTACGAGAGTAAAGAAGACAGACGGAAGGAACGCAGATGTTACAGCGAATGGTACCTTGCTTCATGACTACGACTTTTCTCCTGTCGTCATTGGTTGGTATGCGAACTGCAACAAGCAGACGCAGAGCTTCTCTCTTGCCAAGGCCACTTGACCTTTTTCTTCGCTTCTCTTCCCTTGTACCCAAGGTTTGCATGGACTGCACTCGAAGCTGACTGGAATTTGTGGTCGAGGGATTCAAATCGCAAAATGGATCAGTTTGCTGTCTGTCGGGTATCCTCAAAGTCACATTCGACCTAGCAACCACTGCTGGAATCTCGACCGCATACAGCTTCGATGAATCTCCATCCAGGTCGGTCATTGCCTTGTTGGTTCGCAATGATACGATTTTGAAGAGGGTCCTCAGCCGCAAACATCGCCATAGAGACATGGGGGTCAGCACCAAAACAAAAGCTCCACACGGTGTGGGAAACCCAATGTCCCGTGACAGGTTGCTAGTCAAACATGGCGGTCTCCCCATGAGGTACGTATGGCGAGACATTGCATTTGCTGGGCAAACAAGCCGAGACCGAACGCTCCTGAGCGTTGACTGAATACGGCAAATGTCTCACGGCGGCGTCGGGTGTCGACTCAGAATCGACTATTGCCACTGAGCCGTATGCGTAAACAATGAGACATTGGTCCCGACAGTCTGGTCCAGACTAGCTTGTGCCATGGGAATTGGAATGGCCCGCAAGACATGCCCCAGCCGTGCCGCCTTCGCTTAACCCCGGGATGCTTGCGAGACCTTTTGGTATCATAGCTCAGACATTCCTCAGTATGCCCTTGGATGACTCGAGCGGAGACTGTACTTGGTAAACAAAACCTACATTTGCATCAGCGATTGCAACCCTAACCCTGGAGAGAACTAGTCGACTTGACAGAGAGAGATACTGGCAGAACCATAATTACAAGTAACCATACATGTCGCGCATTCCAACATGAATGCTAGTTCTTATGTCTCTGGTGTCCCATCACACCCTGCCAGCGCACGCCTCAGCAGAAATACCGGATAGAAGCTGGCAGCTTCGGAGTAGGCGCCGCGAAGCTGGCTTTGGATCGCCCAAATTCTTCTTCTCGATAACGTGTCTCGATCGATATTATGGCTGACTCGCACAGGAATTTCGGTCTGTGTTCCTCGATCCGCTGCCTTTTTTCGAAGCCACACCAATGATGCTGTCAGTGGCACTTTAGGTCCCAAGGAGTCGGGCCTTCGGGCGGGAGGAAGATTCCGCAAGGGATCGGAAAGGGTAGCGTTATCGTTTTTGATCGTTTTTGGCTAGCCCAGACCATCAGGATGCTTGAATAGCTGATGTGAGACAGAGGCCCAGTAGTTGATAACCATGATTCTTCTTGTTCGGAATGTTTGTACTGAAAATGTCGGTCTTCTCCGTTCTCTGTATATGCTTTCTCATGAGCCCAAAATGCCATTGTCAGTTTGATGATTGGAATCTCTTCGTGACTTCGACACTAGCCGTCATAGTGACTCCTCTCCCTTGATTTCTCGAGCGGGGACAGCCGAGAAACAGGCGTGGGCGGGAGGGACAATCCGATCCATCCCAGGAATGCGCAATGATAATTATGATTCATCTGGGATCGATAAGTATTCTCGGCTGCCTAGCGCGAACGGTTCAAGGGAGAACCAACGGAGTCGAGAGATGGGGTATGTAAATTAAGCATAGCCTGTTGGTGTTGCTAAGGCTTGTCGTTTGCAGTCTCAAGGACAATTCGCCTTGCTCTCGAGTTCCCTCGGCCCTCGGCGCCTTTCACATCACATTTCGCTCGGATGACTTTCCTCTCGATCGACGGAAAGGACTGCGGTTGGATTGGCCTTCGGCGGGCTATTATTGATAACAAATCGCTGTTTGTCTTCTGGAGGAATGTAATTAGCCAGACATAGTTTGAAGTAAAGGACGGGTAGAGGCAACCGTGAAACTAGAGGGAAAGATGATGGTCATTGAATCAAAACCATTGGACTCTGGAGAGACATATGCGTCCCCTGAAATCGCCACACGTGCTTGGCCCATGGATCTACCGCGATGTTGTCAGCCGGCCAGGGATATATCGAGTTCAGAAGCGGCACAAGAACTCCACCATAACAAAATCGATTGGAAACCGGATTGTGACAGCCGCAAGATGGGTACTGCGGTAAGCAAGAGGAAAAGCACAGCAGCACGTGTCCGAGATGCCCGTGGTATTCTTCGCACGTCATGGAAAGTAACTTCGATGCACTTCACCGGTCGAGTCTCAAAGTTTGCTCTCGCTGTAATACGTTCAAGCACTGCGGCACCATACCATCCAAAATAGCTTGCCGCCTTCAGCTGAAATGTTGCTGCCGCCTGCCTACCTTATTACGTCTGCTATGGCGGCGTGGTTTCCAGGTTCTTTCCTGTTTGTTCGCTGCCAACCCAAGACTGCAACGCACTCCCCTTCTCTTCCCTCGTTCGTACCTTGGCGCAGCCCAAACGTTCGTCCTTTCCCAGAACTTTAGCTCTCCAGCCAGGCTGGGAAAGCCACAACGTAAATCCAACATCCGTGCCGCTTGGGAGAGAGACACATCCATAGCGCCGCCGTTTTCAGTCAGCACGCCTCGTTCCATCCCTTCCTTCGTTGCCCCTCACGCCCAATTCCCACACCACCCCCTCCAGAACCAACTGGCCGCCCTGCCGTCATCAGCGGCACGTCCATCGTCCGAGCTTCGGGTTCGTATCGTCCTTTCCCCCGCGTCTTTGGACTCTTCCCGGGTTCTCTCATTCCCAGATACTATGGATACGTATGTGTCTGGCCACAAGACGACACTCAGGTACAAGGCCGTACAGCCTCCGATGTTGTCTGACACACGTACCTCAGGGTGCTGTCTCGCAGTTTGTACTGCCCACTGCGGCAGGCGGCAGGCAGAGACGTCGCCATATCCTGGAGAATTGCGCCCGCATAGCGTCAAGGACATGTGACGTCCCTTTTCGAACCAGTCGACAGAAGACCACCCAACCACAATAGGTAGGAAGACCCATTGGAATGGCCGTTCACAATGCGCCTCGACGTTTGCTGTAACGAATAGAGACAAAATAACCATCCTGGTGATTTTAAACGGACAGATCGAAGACCAAGACTCATACGGACGTACCTTGATGCTTCCGGATGGACAGCCGTCCTGCAAGATTGATGCACGTCAGGATGTAACCTCAGAGCCAGACGAGAACGAATAGAGGCCAGATGAACGTCTGGTGTTTACGTCCCGTGTCCCGCCCGCCCGTCGGCCTGCCTCCTCCAGGTCTGTGAATAGGGACATTCGGATCTTCCCCTCATTCCTCGGTGGCCCCGAGCCGTCAAGTCCAGGTGCCGCTTGGTGCCCAGTGTCTGGAGCTAAGTAGATGGTACCTGACGATTACACCGCTCGGATGGCTTTTTCTCTCGTTCCCCCTTCTCTATTGCCCCCCCCTCCACACCATGTGGTGGTGTGCGCGCTGCAAGATCCCACCCCCTTCCCCTCCCATCTTCCCAACTCTACACCTCCGCTTCTATTCGTCCATTCTATCCCGCCTGGTTTTCTGACCGTCTGTTTCAATCTCTTCACGGCCAAAAAATATGAGCCCCTCCTCGCCTAGCAAACCGAACTAGAGCCGCTGGACAATACGGCCCATGGGAACTAACGCAAGCCCGCTAATATCAAGTCATCTCATTCATCCGCTTCATACCGCCAGATAGCGCCTTTTCTATCGGCCTGTAGCACCTCTGCCCCTCCTCCCTTGGCCTCGCTAGCAGACCGCCAGGCCCGTCATCTCGCCGCCACCTTTCCAAGCGTACCAGGAGCCGGGTGGATGGCCACGTCGCCATTGAATTCCTCTAGTCCGCTGTGTTCCTTTGTCTTTCCGCCGGCTAGCAAGCCCTTCCCTTCGGACTTGGCCCTAAAAGAGCCAAAGGCCTTTTTAATCGGCTGAAGGCACGTTTTAGCACATCACGAGTCTTGCGCCATGTACACACAGAGATTCAATGCCTGGGTTGACTCTCCCGACCCTGCTCCTCTTTGAACATCTATCCACTCCATGTTTTGGAATTTAGATTCAGCGTCTCTCCTGGTGTTCCCCTTCTCCCCCAAGAAATGGAAAAATAAGAGAGCACGGTGTCTAGTGCGCTGCTTGTGGTTTGGAAGTTGATTGCACGTCCATGTAGCTCCAAACACACTAAGGATATTTGAGTCCAGAAAGTAGCTGCCACATAACGTTTCTGCACACGCCATATCCACTTTAAGAGGGCAAAATGGACTAAATGGAGAAAAGAAAAAAAAGCGAGAGACCAGACCTTCGTGCCATGCGGACCTGCGTCCGAAGGATTTCCCACGAAGCAGGGACGGGGATAGGAGCGAGTAGTATCAACCCGGCGGCTTATCGCCCTTCAGCTTCCCCGTAAGACGTGTCCCCGTAGTCGATGTCGCCCTTCAGGCTTCAGCTTCAGCTTCCCCCGTCGACTTTTGTCCCCGTCGTCGTCTGCTGTCCCTGTAGGTGACAATGTAGCCCCCTTTCACACCCTCCGTCCCCATCAACGACTGGTATTGCTGCAGACGCACATCTCTCTCTCGACTCGCTCCGCCCACTGGTCTGCCTCCTACTGGGCCTGACTGGCTGGCCGGCCGGGACAAGGAAGTCGGGCCAAGCGCGCCCAAACCGAACTAAGTAAGTCCTTTCTAGGGACTGCTCTCCAAGTACATAGAAATGCGTTCCCTGCTCGCCCGCGCGCACTTGCCTCCGGCCTCCGCTTCAATCTTGCGCAAACCCAAGGCACCTACCTAGCTCATCTGCAAAGCATCGGGAGGGTGCTTGAGTTTAGTCATGTACCTCGTGGTAGTAGTTCGCCTTTTTGGACTGGACTGGCTGGGGCTGGGCTCACCGTTGAACTTGGAACGGCCCATGAACCGTCCGCGCGCAACGCGGACACACTGACCAGGCAAGGCAGAGGAGCTGCTCACTTGGAAGCCACCACCTTTCCTTCCCTCCTGACTTTGCGTGTGCGGCGCTTCGGCCCCGACTGACTTGCATCCATCAAGCACAGACGTATGTGAGTAATTGGGCCTGCGGGTGACAGAGAAGCCGGTGTTCGCCCTAACTGCGAGCTAGAGCTATGGAAACCTCCTATCAACTTTCAAAGATCCAAAATCTGCTCTTCCATTCTTTTTTTGCTAGTGTAGTTAGCAGTGATTGGTGGTGGTTGGTAATGGTGGTGGTGCGTGTGTGTGTGAGTGTTGCTCTGTTCTGATATTGAGGGCGACAGACAGACAAGGGAGCTCCAGCCTCCTCACCCCTCGTGTCATGTCGGTGAGCAACGTATGCGTGCGTGTGTGGTGTGTGTGTGACTCGAGTGTACATACCGGTTCTTCGGACCACAGTGCTCGTCGACGCCAACGGCATTCTCCTTTGGGTGACCGCCCTTACCCCCTCTCCCCTCCCCTCTTGAACACCCCCCCTTGCCTTGGCACGCTCGCGCGGTCTGCGCAACTAGGATCAACCCAATCCCAGTTCTCCATGAGTGTTGATTGCGGAGAGGGGCACCGAGGCCCGGCCACCTCTCATCCAACCCATCACTCATCCGCTTGCCTCTCGTTTGTCGTTGACCCGCTGAGGAGCTGGGAATTGGCGGGAGGGGAGGGGAGGGGAAAGAGGACCTAGAAAAAAAAAAGGATACAGAGAGAGAAGGTGAGCGAGCGAGTGAGAGAATGTGACGGCAAGAGAGACAGACAGAGAGGAGTAAGAACGAGCACTAGCGTCAAGGGTCCCCGAAATCTCGACAAATGGCCTGTCGAGTCCTCGTCCACTCCCCAAAATGTACCAACCTTGACCTGGCCTTTTGCCTCGAACTGCTTGCCTGTCTCGCGCAGCAGCGGCCATCCAGCGCGGAGTTGTTTAAAGTGGCCCTGCCCAGAATTGGGACACCGGACGGTAAACGGTGGTACTGTTGCCGCCCGTACCTGACCTTGACCTTGACCAACATCCATCCGTAACAAGGAGGTCCAAAAAGAAGGGGAAAGAAGAGTGAACACGACTTCCATCCATCCACCACCACCACCACCAACCACGGGCACTACCACCACAAACAACAGAAAATACGCACAGAGGGTGGAACGAACAATCGGCGTTAATTTTATGTGGGCCAATAAAATTTGAACCACGTAGATCTAGCTGACATCTTTTTTGGATTTATCTACTTCCTATTGTTCGTTCATGTTGGATATCCTTAATTACATTCCATTCTTGTCAGTAATGGTTCTCGGCTTTGTCTGGTGACGTGTGTTTTGAGCATCTTTGTTCTTTGTGACCTTTGTGTGTGTTGTTGTCTGGGGCAGAGCTGTTGCGGTGGCGTCGACGTGGTCTTCCTTTGTTTGAGTTGTGTTTGTATTCTCCTCTGGATACCCGAAGAGCTGCTCTTCTGACCCATTGGCAACAGAATCAGTCCTTGTTTCTTTTTGCCCCCTCTACTGATTCGCTCTGTTCGAGTCCCCCCGAGGAACAAACTGGCTTTGTCGCCTTTTTTTTTTTTTTTTTTTTTTTTTTTACTCTCTGGTGTCTTACCATGCCGTAGACGGCAACCTCGCCGCCGGCTTTTGACCGAAGGAGGCAATGGAACAAGGGATGGATACCTACCAAGAGAAAGGCACGGCACGCACACCGCGCCGTACCACACAAGAAAAACCGATTAAAAAAAAAAAGAGCGGAGCAAACGATTAAAAAAAAATACGTCGCTTTTCACAGTTCTTCCCAACCGCTAAGACGGCACGGCCAACGGCTGGCTGGCATCGGACCGGCCCCAAACCTTGGGTTGGGTTTGGTTTCTAGGCTGGGGAACTGCCACGCGCGTGCGCTGACCTGTCCGTCCGTCCCCCCCTTCCCCCGAGAGACTCCCCTCCCCTCCCGTCCTTTGGCCCCCAAACTGGACTGGCTGGCTCAAGCTTTTCGGTCGGGGGGTGTGTGTCGTTGGCACGTACGTTTTCGATATCGATATATTAGTGCTTGACGTCCCTTTTGGCAGACGTATGGCGTGTAGCAGACAAATGAACTGCATCTGGCATGTCAAACACGATTCAGAGATAACACGCAAGGGCCATGAAGTTCAGCAGCAATTGCAGTAGACGCCCAACGACGCCGATGCTGGCCTTTGACATTTTTTGTGTTTGACAAAATGTATGCTACGCTCCTTTCATCTCATTACTGCCGCTTCTTCTGCTCCCCCTCCCATTTTCATGATTGTGCGTCATTATATCCGATGATGGTGGACGGGACAGAAACATGAGAAACAAGATGAGAAAACAATGTGGTGAATGAGCAAGAGAGAAAAAAATAGGGGAGGGAACACAAAGCTGAATTTTGTAGCCCTCGCGGTGCCATTCAATAATTTCTGCCGAGGTCGATAACAAACGCAAAAGTGATATCTCTGCCGCCCAGCCCTACCGCTTGCGCGATTTCACATCGTAATAAGTTCGAGGTTTTTGGGTAACATAAGTCTCGGAAATGACACAATGAAAACAAAGAAAGCACAATTGACGCAAGAAAAACATTCCGTGGCAATGAATTGTGGACGATAGGATAGCGTAGAAGAGCGCACCAAAAAAATCAAAAGAAACGACGTGTGCCGTGAGGCAGACCATTCTTAACCCTCTCCGTTCCTTCGGGGAATGACTGTATGAAATGAAACAAGCGCAAAAGAAATCGATATTGGCCATGTGATCGAGGCCTCATGCGGTCTGTAAGCAAGCAAAATACCTCCCACCATTTTCCCCCAGCAAACACCTAAAGCATAAAATCAAGACGATGCTGGCCCGTTTGGCTGAATGCCGATAATCGAATGGAATATCGTCCTCGCCCTTTTCTTTTGTTCCAAAGAAAGCTCTCCGTTTGCTTCGTGCTCGCAACAAACAGAGCCGAATCAACTTCGTCTGTATGCGCCCAAGATAATACCACATACGACGCCTTTGTTGCTGCCGGTAGTCAGCGGCCCACCAGCAATCGCCAAGTATTAGGTAAGAGTGGAGATTTCTTTGTCGTCTTCGTCTTGGGGAATTCAGAGACCGATTACCTGACCAGCAGATTCGTCCTTTTTGGGCCGGGCGAGGCGGTCGAGATCAGATATTCATGTTGGCGGGCTGGGCCAGAGCGACTTTGCGGTTCTGCCGATTTACCTCCTGGGAGGTGGTCTGTTCAACCGTCCCAACATGTTTCTATCAATGTCATGAGGCGCAGGGTTGTCCACCAAATTGTTCAGGCTCATGACAGAGCTTGAGGATGCGGCAGGGGTTGATGAATTGCTCTGGCGCTGAATTGCGGCTGCCGCACGTTCGTCGCCCGTGGGCTGCGAAGGAGCCGAAGACGGCTGTACTGGGCTGTGTCTGGCCGGAGGTGCTCTCGGGTCGTATCCACCGGGCCCAGGTGGCTGATAGTTCATGTAACCCGGACTGCTGTGGTTCGAGCTTGATGCCGGAGATCGTCGGCGAGGATCATCTGCCGAATTGGGGTCAGGTGGTGGGGGTCGAAGCTGCTCATCACCCTCGTCATCCCTTGGACGCCTTCTGCCTCGCTGCGCATCGTAGGGTGAGTAACCGCCTGTCGGCGAGGGCAGGGCCTGTTGTGGGTAATAGCCCCCGTTGCCTGGCTGAGGAGCGTATCCCTGAGCAGGTGGCGGAGGTAGCGAGCCCTGAGGCAGTGGTTGACCGTAAGCTCCGTAGAGTGGTGTGCCGGGAGGAATACCACCTTGAAGAGCAGATACCGGAACGAAGGCGGTCGAGCTAGACGAAGACACAGGCTGGAAGATACATTCCTGGTTCATCCTGCTGCAGTTCACGCATTTGCCGCCAGGTGCGCTTTGGTAGCCACTGCAGCGAATCTACATACTGGTGTTAGCAAGAGAAGACCTGAATCGGCGAATTTTGACCAACCTTTCTTTTGCGGCAGTATCTGCATGCAATGGAAGTTCGCTGTCTCGGAGCTGCTTGTTGCATATTTGGGCCTCCCGGACCATACTCGTACCTTGGCGGGCCCGGGGGACCGTAGTCGTATCTCGGAGCACCCGGACCAGGCGGAGGGTAGTCGGGATAACGACCCGGGGGCGGAGGACCCTGGCGATTGTAATGGTCCTGGTAGTAGGGGTCATACTGCTGAGGAGGAGCCTGTTGCTGCTGTCTCCTGTAGAAATCATCTCTCGATTCAGGCGGTGGTGGGTAGCCTGGAGATCTCGGATCGCCTCCTTGAGGCTGCAGGGGTGGCAACTGTTGGTGAGCGCCCGGCTGCGGCGGAGGATATCCGTTCACAGAGTTAGGAGAGGCATTGTAGCTGCTGGCACGTGGATCGCCTCGCGGGTCAGGATGCGGCGGGTATGACCTCGCATAGGCAGGCTGGCCGTATGCGCTGTGAGGATCTTGGATGGATGGCAGAGATACTGGTGCGGCCATGTTTGGTCTTTGATGTCTGTCGTCGTGATATCTAGAATCTTCAGGGGCTCCTACAGGAGGCAACCGGTGACGAGCTTCGTCTTCTCGCTGTTGGACGGACAAGTCTTCTCTGTGTGTAGTAGAAGGCGGCCCTCGTCCTTGCTCCTCTGCCATGCCTTGGTTGCGGTTAATCCAGCAGGATGCCGCGACTGAAACCGCGACTGAAACCTGCCCTTTGGACGCCTTGCGATGCTAAAGTACTGAAAGTGAAGTAAAAAAGGTGGTAGAATGTGCTGAGGTCTTGGCGTCTAGACTGTCGCAACCAAGAAGCTTGCTTTGATGATGGCAAGCGCGTAGGCTAACCGTCAAAGCCCACTATCAGAAAAACTCGGCGGGCAGGCGCAGGAAGGTCAAGAATCATGACCAAGCAAAGCGTGGCGAAGAATTGGCGCAGTCAGCGAGTTGGCGATTTCGGGTTGTCCGTACACAGCCTGTCGTGCGAAGAAAGTCGAACGTCAGAGAGTGGTGTGCCGTGTAAGCCGTCAGACTGCGCAGGCGCAAAAAATAATAATAAGCGGAGCGGCGCGGCGCGCGATGCAGTGCGGCAACAAAAGAGAGAGCGCGCAGCTTTGACTTTGAGCACGGCGCAACTGGAATGATTAATCTTAAAAGAGGCCGAAATCGATAACAATCCGACTTTCTTGGGCGACAACGAATGACGCAAAGGCGGGCGACAAGTGGGACAGGAGTTGGAAGCTGCTGCTGTCGAGGAATGGAGGTGAGCTCGGGTCGGCGACAGTCAGTCACAAATGCCGATGCTGCGGTTGGCGCGCGAGAGAAGGCGGCGCGGTGATGACGAGTGCTTTCGTCGGGTTATTCCCTTCGCCGCGGGAAGCAAGAGACTGCGTCGCTGTCGTTGTCGTTGGTGATGTTGGAGAGAATAGTTGTGGCTGCGATGAGCGCTGGAGGACAAGATGTTGGTCAGTCGGCAGGTAATGTATGGTCAGGTGAGGACGACCAGGTTGGGAGGAAAGGTAGAAGCAGAGGTCGGAAGTAAAAGCCAGACAAGGCAGGCAAGGCGGGTAATGTAATGTTAAAGGTCGGTCGGTAGGTGCCAGGCCAGGTGCCAGGTAAGGTAAGGTAAGGTAAGGGTATTGGCAGTGGGGAGAAAGAGAGAGTGAGAGACGGAGTGCTGGGAGGGGGGGGGGGGCGTGTGGAAGAGACAGACTGGAGAGAGGGGAAGGATTGCGCCAAAAAGATGGGAAGATGTAAGAAGAGAGCAGCGGCAGCAACTTCGCACTAAGAAGTACGGCTAGGTAGGCGAACCCAGTATTCGTACTTGGAAGGGTTGCCGTGCGGTGCGGTACGGAGCGGTACTAGGAAGGTACGGACGGCACTGGGCTAGGGACGGTAAGGTACCCAGGACAGGGCAGAGACCAGCGACCAGGAGGCCAGGACAGGCCAGGAGAAGGAGAAGAAGAAGAAGAAGAACAGGGCCAGGGTAGGGCAGGGTAGGTAGGCGTGCGCGCGGTGTGTGGCTCCGGCCCAGGGGGGTGGGTAAGTTGTAAGGGTGCGATGCGGTGCGGTCCAGTGCGGACGGGGGTGTAGGGGTCAGGTACGTTAGCTTACCCAGGTAGGTAGGTTGGAGGAGCCAGGCAGGCGGAGGCGGCAGCGGCAGGCTGGCCCCAAAAGAAGGAGAGGGAGCGGCGGCGGCGGCGGCGGCGGCAGCGGCAGCAGGGCAGCAGCAGGCAGTGGACACACGCCGTGGCTGCTGCTGTGGCAGGGACCGTGGAAGCACGCCCAAAGGCCCAGATGCGCGGTGAATCGAGTGTGTGCGGAAGATTCCTACTACCACAACCATCCGTCGTCAGCTCAAAGTGCTACTTTACGTACATTGCGGTGGGTAGCAGAAAGTGAAGTAAGTGGTCGACGTTTGCCAGAGCATTAGGTAAGGCAGCGAGGGTAAGGTGAAGAGACACCATGGTACTGGCAATAAGGTAACCCAACGACATACCTCTCGTATGGACACTCTAGATAAGCGCGTCCTTGCTGCTGGCCTGTGGTTTACTAGGCAGTGTATTGGCAATAAACAACACACGGAAGGTGCCAGTTGGCAGAGTCGTAGACCAAGATGAGACGAGTTATTGTGGTCGAGGTCAGGAGAGATGCCGTCCAAAACAAGAGATGGATGATGAGAAGAACGAGCGTGCGTGCGTGCGACAGGCGTCGTGAGGTAAGGTAGGCAAGAGTGATGAAGCGTGTCGATGATGCAGGAGGTGCAGGAGTTGAAGTAGGTAGGCAGGCTGCCTGGGCAGGTAAAAAACGACTTATTGCGCAGTCCCAGTCTCTCAAGGTCCAGGTCTCAATCAAGGTACGTGCGAAAAGTAGGTGAGAGGTAGGTAAATACCTGACAAGTTAGGTAGGGTATCATCTGTGCCTTTGCCGCAGCACGTACCTTATTTTACCGTGTGTACGCAGCAATTAAGGCAAGGTAGCTAGGTAGGTAATAAGGGAAGAAGAGCCTTCAGGTCCCGTCGATGAAAAAGAAGGGCGGGATAATACACGGGGATGCGGCCGGGGAAAGGCGGCGATGGACGGCAAGGCAAGGCACGGAACGCACTTCCTTTGAATAGCCCAAACGCTCCCTACCCTACCCTGTCTGCACCTTCCTCACTTTTTTTTTTTTCCCCTTCTCTTTCAATCGAGGTTCCTTACTGCATGTGCATGGTACAAGTGCCTGCATACAAAAGGTTAGAAAAGGTGAAGGTGAGAGTTGAGGAAGGCGCAACGGTGTGGACACCAAGGTCTCGCTCGTCAAGAAAGGTACGATACCTTCCTTACCCTACCTGGGAAGTGGTAGCCCAGGTAAAGCAGGTAAGGTAGGGGAAGGTCCAAAAAGCAGGGAAGGTCCAGGTCCAGGTCCCAGCTGCAGTCCGAGGTGCCTGCCTGCCTTTTTGCATCCTGTATAAGTACCCAGTACCACCTTTACCGACTCCCATCACCAGTGCAACAGTAGAGGAGCAATGTGCAGCAGGTCGCGACAGCAGAACCAGAAGCACCATCGCATCTTGCCTCTACCTAGCTCTACTGTACCTTAGGCCCTGCGTCCGCACCCGCATCCGCACACGCTGCAAGCACCTGCAGGCTGGGCCAGCTGGAGCTGCGAGTTCCTACACTGCACTTGCACTGCACTCACGACACCACACGGTAAGGCGAGGTATTCATTCGTACGGGCACCTTCCTTACTGCCACAGCACCTCAGCTAACGACCTTTACAACCTGAGGTGGGCAAAGTATTTCGCAGTACCTACCTACCTACCTACCTACCTACCTACCTACCTACCTACCTACCTACCTACCTACCTACCTACCTACCTACCTACCTACCTACCTCTTACCCGTTCTCTCCTTCGCACACCCCCTCCCCCTTCCCCCGGCCGCCAGGGTCACACGCCCCCTAGTCGACATCACGGTGCATCCCATCCCATCCCATCCCATCCATCCTCACTCAACCTGGAAAGTGTGGATGGTGCAAGTGCGTGGTGGAGAGCGGGAATGGCAGAGCGGGCGGATGATGTCGCGCCGCCCAATGGGTGACTTTCTTGAAGGCGGGAGTATCCCCCTCCCTTCCACCCTTTCCCCCTTCCCCCTTAGGGGCTCCCGTCCTTGGGTTCGGTTCCATGAGACGGGCTCACTTCCAACTTCCAACAGGTAGCACACTCCGTTGGCACTTGCCCCCGCGAACCACTCACAATCCAGAACCCATCACCGGCCCAAACGGTCTGGCATTAGCCCTCCCCCGTCGCTGCACTTCGGTTTGCATCGCGCAGTGCAGCCGCCCAGCCCTTTTCTTGAAATGCTCTTCGCACCAACAACAGCTGAGCCACGGCCAAACCAGTCTTGAAACTTCATCCAGCAACGGAGTTCAGTCACACCCTCTCGTCCACAGTGTTGCCCAAGGGAACCCGCAACACCACAACCGGCCATACACAGCCAGCCATATCGTACCCGATCCCATGCTACACAGACACTGTATTCCCGAGGTCAATGTCCTTTTTCACCAAAATGTCGGTCGTAATATGGGCAAGCATCGAGGCGAACCAGTCCGCAACCCAGCTGCCTTCGTTGGCTCCCTTGACCGGCCCGTCTGTCTTCTTTCTGCCGCCTCCCTTGCTCGGTAGCTTGCCATGCACCGTGGCACTTTCGACATGGTACCGATCCATTATACCCTTCAAACGAGCCGCCTTCCAAAGACGTCGGTGGCCAAGTCATCATTTGGATGGCAAGGTCGTACAAACCTCTTGGCCATGACAGATGAGCCGTCCAAGGGTGTGTGTGTTATGTGTGCCCGCGCGAGGGGCCAACAAAGGGATTGAAAGGGTACTTCCGCCGCTTTGCAATGTTTTCTGCCGGCTAGGTATGAATGACCCAAGATAGGTCTAATCCGCAATTGTTCACCTTGCGGCGACTTCCGCGAAAGAGTCGCAAATCCTACACGTAAGTGGTGGGAAGCACCTGACGGGGTGGGGAGACGACCCGGGTTTGCTGTTGGGACTTGGAACTTGGAACTGTGGGGCGTCGTGTTGGTTCCGGCTTCCGTATACCATCCCGTCCATCGCCTTACTCGACCGACAAGGTCTGCTTCCAATCCCTTCTTCCCCGACTGGCGACCCCCTCGCTCTGGGCGCACCCTTCTTCTTTTTCACCTTCTACTTCGCACGCCGAGGTAGCAAAATTTCTTTGCTGCAGACCCTAACACTTTGCGGGCCGTTGGCGGTGGTCGCCGGCATCGTTGCTGTTACCGCCCCGTGCTCGGGTTTGCCCGCTGATTTTTGGCCGCCGTTGTGCCAATCCTGGGTAGTAGTTCCCCCAAGCATCGCCATTCCCTGAACAGACGGACAATGAATGACTCTCGTCATTGCTTGGTCCCAGCGCGCACCGGATCGTTGGATTCGGACGACCTCGTGACAAAGACAGACCAGGGTCCGGGGACACGGCAATAATGTAGAAAGGAACCAAGA